TCAAAAGACAAACACAGCGACACCAAAGCCAATAATTACACTTACATAGTCACTACATTTTATACCTACCTGCTGGGAGTTATGAGTAACAGTCCGTCCGGACAGCCAAATCTTAGGAAAATTGCTGTTGCTGTTTGATCTCACTCCAACTATAGGTTGCGGGCCCTGCAAACAGCCCGGAATACTGGCTTCTGCTACAACTCTCACAGAAGGTTTGCGATCAACCTCAACTCGATGTGCGGCCACATAAGACCATTCCGGTTACGCATGTTCGTGCCGAGTCACAGCAATTTCCTCGAGCTCTATGAATGGTATGGCGATTCCGACCACCAATCCACTGAAGAGCAAAGCAGGAGTACCGACTGAGACGACATGGCGCGTCTTTGCAGCTGAACTGTCAACACTCGTTGTGTCTTCCCGGGAAATTTGAGGTTGTTCAGCTCGTAAGATTGCATAGATTGGGCGGTAGGGTATCTTGCGTGGCCCTGAACAGTGCCCGCGCGTAAATGAAAATTTCAGGAGAGGCATCGGACGTCCCGATCCATCTGTATGATCATCTCATGATGCATGATGACCTTTCAAATTGCAGTTTATACGGAAGCTCTTTTGTCAGAGCCCGAATGATACGTGCGAGGTTGAAAATTCTCTGAATGCCTCATCAGGATAGAGGGCCTTCCAGGAGCCTCGCAAGAAACGTCTGAAATCGCGGAAGCACTGACCGTGCTGCGGCAGCCGCCAAAGTAGCTCGGATCAGTCTATGAGCTTGACAGTCTTTGCTGAGATGTAGGTCCTAATGGGATGCTAACGTCTGAAGTTGGAATTATTGGTGGCCTTGTTTTATTGGAGATGCTAACCCCTAAGCCGAACACCGGATTGGCTGAGATTTGCGGCATAGCCCACTAAGGATATGACCGAGGGGTAGCATTGAGTGAGCAAATGATCTCATCAAGAGCTTCCCGACGCTAATATGGCGTTCGAGTAGCAGAAATAAGCTTATGGGGTAGCCATCGGCCTGCAAGTATTGATGTCCAACATGCAGCGGGGACTGATGGGAGTTTATGCCGGTGGGATTCTATCATATCAAGAGAGGGCAAATAAAACATATCCCTGGTAGTAGAGAAAATGATCAACTCGAGGCGTGTTATGACCCTTAATCTCGACTGCCGTAGGACCGCTTGGCTGAAAGCCCCCTCCCAGAGATGATGGGCATCTGTTGGCTCATTCGGCAGTCGTTCAACTGCCAAGAAGTCGAGGGCACTCACAACCAAGCCCAATATCACTAATCGTGTGGTATTATCCAGATGTCTTGGCCCATGCTACAATGTTTTCCCATCTAACGGGATGGTAGCACGGGCTATCTTTAGGGGGTGATGCATACACGAACACGCGCGGGCAACGAGTCGAGACCAGATATCTAAGTTGTTTTATCTTCCAACCACAGATCGATCCGAAGGGTTAGGTGAATACGGAGTATTACTATCTAAGAACAAGCTTTAATGCTGTCAGCTGCCGATGCCTGACTTTATTCAGAACCTTGACCGAACTGGAAGACAACGTTGCATCGCCCGCTAGGTCATTGCCTCGACTAATTAAAGCGGTATAGCCGTCTTAACCCCTATGATGTAATCGTCCTCCTCGGTCCCTTCTAGAGCTCATATGTCCGGCCGCTAGAAGCTTTCCATTGTTACGACCGAGAAGGATCCGAACGGCTCGCTTCGAACCCGACCCGGCCGAGTAGTTCTCACCTTATCAAGCTCTTTTGAGATAATGAGCAGTAGTAATTGTTGACAAGTGCCGCGCAACGGCGTGCTTATTAGTCTCGCAAAGGCCCCATCTCGCGGAGTTTAGAAGTGCACTGCGGTCGGTGGCATGCGACGCTAACGATGCACGGAAGCGGGATACCGCAGTAGGTCTTAGATCGAGGCGTAAGCGGCCAATCCCGAGGTATCTGCGAACCACCGGCCCGCTGCGCCCATCAAAAGGACGTGAATCAATGTCATCACACACCCCTTAGCTCCCCAGCCTCGAGGCTTAAATTGTTATGCATGAATAATCAGGTTCCTAATGCAGGGTTGTACAGGACAAATTGTTCAGACGAGGAAACAGCGAACGGACCAATTCTTCAAGAGACGTCTGGGTGACTTCACCTCCCCCCAACTCAGAACTGCCGCGTTCGGCAATAGGGGGCTGGTGCAACGTGGGGTGTTCCCGTCATCAGACGGACAACCAAGACGCCACCTGATTCCACCTTATTTTTAACCTTTAGCCCATCAGCTCTATCCCCGTAGAGGGCTGAATATGTAGGACGGGGCGAAGGGGAGACTCAAAGACAGTAACCATGCCGAAAGCTCCGCAAAACCTCCAGAAAGGCGGTGATTATGGACACTGGTCAATTGCGCTATTTTGCAGGCTTTCACGGGGTTGTGAGTAATCCATGGTGTCTCACTGGTTTGTGTGATTTGACCGAGGACCTTTCGTAGTACATCCACTTCGCGTACATCGCCAGTGCCGACACAACCGGACGTGGGTCCTCTTCTTGACCGTCTCAACGCTCGCGAAGGGCGAATAACGCGTCATCGCAGAGACCACACGTGCGCCCAAGCTTCTAGACCTGGACTATTCAGGACATATTACTTTGCTTTTTTGGCACGCGGAGGTCCCGTGTCACCCACATCTAGCCGTCCCGTTGCGGGCAAGACGGAGTCTCTAGCTGCACCCTGATAAACTTCATCCCGGCTGATGACATGGACTAATTGAGGGGTGGTAAGAGGGGGTTTAATCGGAGAACGGCATTGACGAACGGGAGGCTGTCTTGGCCTTCACCGTTGTTGACGGGATGAAGGTTCGTCTGGTTCAAGTCGTGAGTATAAGAAGTCATCGGTCTCCAAGGTGTCAGAGGTCCAACTTCATCATCCAGTTCCAACTCACCGAGGAGCAAGACACCCAATCGCCAGTCTTGAAATTATTGAGCCGCTAGCGTTCGTTGTTTTCAATCAGATTCAAGCATCATGATCAGCCACGCAGCTTTCCTTCTGGGGCTTCTTGGGGCTTTGCCCATGGGATATGCGGTCCCCATGCCTCAGTAAGTTTCCCCATCGCCGTTAATCCGTCTCTACCTCGACTAACAACCTCAGAATGGGCGATTATGGAGAAAACGACGGGCCGGTGGGAGGAATCAGCCCGCCCATTCCCACAGTCACAAGCCCTACCGGAAACTTGAGGGGCGATTCGAGCCTTCTCGGAGGCAATGCCCCGCGGCCCGACCCAGACCAGTCCGACTCGGCAGTCGTCAACGACGTCCAGCTCGTCCCGGGCCAGAAGGCAGACGGCAAACTCGGCCTGTATCTCAACTTCGATGGCGTCGACGTCCCGCAACCCATCCGCGGGGAACTAGGATCCCCGGATCCCGGCCCAAGTACGTAGCATCCCCGGCGGCTCCGGCGGGGTTGATGATCTGCACCTAGCCCGTAACGAGTCGACGGCCAGCCCCCCGCTAACCATCGATTGCGCAGGAACGTATGCGTACGAAAAGCTTAACCCCGATCTGTTCGCCCCGCCCGGCACCGACAAGGGCGACGTCAAGAACGCCATGTGGCCCCTGGGTCTCTCGCATAACCGGCTCGGCAGCCAAGACGGAGCCGGCTGGGCGCGTCAGCAGAATTCTGATGTGCTCCCGGTCGCGTCGGCGATGGCCGGTGTGGACATGAAGCTGCAGCCCAACGCTTACCGTGAGCTGCACTGGCACACGTCAGCTGAGTGGGCTCTTGTCCTCAAGGGATGCTGCCGCATTGCCGCCATGAATGAGGATGGCAAGAGTATCGTGGACGATATCTGCGCCGGTATGATGAAGACCTTTTCACTAGTAACATTGGGCATTCACTGATCATGAGCAGGTGATGTTTGGTTCTTCCCTGCCGGCGTGCCCCACAGCATTCAAGCCTTCGACCAGGGTGTTGAGTTCCTTCTGGTCTTCGACCAAGGCGACTTCAGCGAAGAGAACACCTTCTTGATGACCGAGTTGATGCTGAGAAATCCCATCTCCGTTCTCTCCAAGAACCTGAAAGCAGATGTCTCCGAGTTCGCCAACATCCCTAAGGATCAGCTCTACGTAAGTCGCAGTATTGCTCGCTACAAACCATGCAGGAACTAACGACATGCAGATTTTCAATGGAACCCCCCCACCTAAGGATATCCAAGAGCAGAACCAGACCTCCTCTGCTGGTGCTCTCACCGGTGACGAGTCCTACACCTACCACTGGTCGCAACAGAAGCCTTTCGAGGTCCCCGGTGGCTCCGTCAAGATCCTCGACCCTCTCACCTTCCCCATCGCGGAGAACTTCTCTGCTGCTCTGGTTGTTGTCCAGCCTGGCGCCATGCGCGAGATCCACTGGCACACCACTAGCGATGAGTGGAACTACTTCCTTCAGGGTTCCGGCCGCATCACCGTCTTCCAGGCCCCTGAAGCTTCCCGCACCTTTGACTTCACTGCTGGCGACGTTGGATACGTGAAGGTCGGCGACAGTCACTACATCGAGAACACCGGTACCGAGGACGTCATCTTCCTTGAAGTCCTCCAGGCCACACGATTCACGGACATCAGCGTTGCTCAGTGGTTGGCCCTGACGCCCAAGCAGGTCGTCAAGGATACTCTTGGCTTCTCGGATGCTCTCATCGACTCATTCCCGAAGGAGAAGGAGTACATCAAGGTCGGCCCGACCAACATGACGGCAGTGGCCAGCAGTGGTAAGAACTTCAAGGCTTAGTTTAGCGAATGGTATCAATTGCTTCTTACCTGATTACCGCACGCATCTCTGTTGCTGTTACTTTCGCGACGATCTGTTAGAATTCCATACCCATTTCAAGAGAATTTGAATTTGCAGGCTTCAAACATGATGTGCTTTATGTGAATTTGGTTGCGCTGAGGTTACGGCTAAAGATAACTAAGGTGGCCTTTGCCTAATTGATGTTTTGCTCTATGTACTGATTCTCAAGCTTCGGAATTATGCCACTCTTACAAAATACCAGGTCAACTCTTCCATCACTTCCGCCATGTTTCGCCGGCTTCCCGTGGGATACGTGGTCTCCAAATATCCCAGACGGGTCAGAAGCCTTTGCTCGCTGGTTGACTCCTTGGCCACATCTTCCTCGTACATGGTGATTTCTGTCTCCCCCTTCATTTGCTTGAACACCAAGCCAACGTCGATGTGCTTGTCGAGCTTCCAGTAATCGGCGTCATAATGATACCAAACCATGTAGAGCACATTGACCGACTGGCCAACTGGGAACTCCTCGGCACAGTCAGGTCGAAAGTCGTGCACCTCTTCGTCTGAGAACCGGCCAAGCTTGTCCAGTGCGATAGTGTACTTGGTCTCTCCGTTAATACCTGGAGTTGCTGTGACAACCCCTTTCCTCAAATCGCCCTTCATCTCGAGAGTATGATAACGTCGAGCCATCCATGCAGCGAAAGGGAGCGGCTGGTCGAACGCGGTGCCCATTCCCATCTTGATTTCAGGTTTGATCATAAGACTACCCCGCATCGGCAGACGGCGGTACATGTCGTTGACAACGATGCCATTGCGTGTCGAGGCCCACGACCATGTCGGTACCAGCCAAGGCTTCTGTCGCTCCCCCGACGGACCCTTCGGATCTACGTACCATAGCATCTCTGTCTCGAAGAAGTGGTAGAAAAGACCAAAAGATGACCGGAGATGTGTCCATCTTTGGGCCACGGTGGTGATACCGTTGATAGCGAGGAACTTGTCCGAGCTGTAGCTTAGAGATAGCGAGGAGTAGTTGGAGAGAAACTGCCACCAGGTTTTGAGAAAAGGATAATACACGTCTCGGGGTCGGCTGAGATCAGTTGCCACGACCATGTAATCCCCAAACGGATCTGTTCCGTCGTCATTTGGGCCGTCCGGGTGCACACGATACAACTTAGATGGCCCCTTGCCTTCGAGAAAAACCGAAAGATTTGCAGCATGCCCAGGCAGACCTCCTCGGTAAGCTGGATAGCCATCGCTGTCGTAGGCTTCGTCGTCGAACTCAGAGCCTTGGTGATTCTGACCGGCATCCGCGAAGTGAGTTGTGGTGATTTCCATTCCGTGGGTTTCGTCATCAGATGTATCCTCGGCTTCTTCATGGCTGCCTTCATGATCATCGTCTTCAACCGCATCTTCGCTACTGTCAACGTCGATATCATCTCCCTCTTGGTTCGCTCCCTCGAGTTCATCATCTTCCGCATCTCCTTCACTCTCTTCTTCGTCCTCCACATCTTCCCATGCATTCTCCTCCTTGGGGATAGGACGCGGCAAGCGGAAGTCTCTGAAGAAGGCAAAAATATCCTTGGGATGGGTCGGGGCTTCGTTCGTACCTGGTGCTCGTCGAGCCACCAAGCTTGGTTCCGCAAAGGAAGCATCGCATTCGCGGCATTCCCATGACAGAGAGTCCTCAGAGAATATGAGAGATCGGGGTGAAATCATCCGCTCTTGACACACCCAAGCCCTAGAATCCAAAATACCAGCGCTCTTGAGCTCCGAGTTCTGTATGCTGAGACCGGCCTCACTGTCAAGGCCATCCATCGCAACAATTGTACAGGTTGCATTGTCGTAGATGATAGCCATTCGTCTTGCTTCAGCCTTCCAGTCATCTTTGTCATCTTGGATGATGCATAGTGAATCGATCCAGATGTACGGGAATCCCATGCCGCGCGCAACGTAAATTGCCTCGCGGAAGGTCGGAGGAAGGCTTGACGTGCACATGCCTTTCTCAACCATGTCGCCCAAATTTGCTTTCAGCGTGCAGCACGTTTCTTTCAATCCCCATCGGTGACTGAGAGCGACATACTTCGTATCTGGGCTGAGCGACTCGGAAAGTGACAGTCGAACAATGTCTTCCTCCTCACTTGACGGGCTCAGGGGGAACGAAAGGAGTCGAGTTGCAACTAAGCCCTCGCCCTCAAGATCTGAGATTAGGAGGGAGTTATCTGTGCAGAACACAGTACTGTGCCTGGCTGCTTTGCTGCACGACGCGTGATTTGCGGTGCACTCTTCCAGCCATTTCCTGCCTTGTGATATAAATGGCTGTAGCAGTTGCTTGGTCGAGGGAGTTGTGACCGACATTATCAAAGATGGAGTCCGAAAGACGAGGATTGCAAGATACCGAATGAGAATCTATGGTGTTGAATGCGACCGAAGGGATAACGGATCGTGAAGTCGAAGGGCCTGCCTGTTGGAGTTTTATTGAATCCACTGTTCGCCAGTTATTGCCTTTCAGCACAGCTGGGCTGATGGGCAAACTCCATCTGCAAGTTAACGGCGCTAAACATTGATCTAAGCCTTCGGGTGCAGGCAGCGAGATTCTGCCTGCATGAGCGCGTTGGGCTTGCTGACGGGCTGACTTTGGAGGCTGACTGCAAGTGCTTGCTGGCGCTAACCAACAGCCAACTTAGCGCTTAACGTGATTGAATTGCCTCAAGATGCAACACGATGCATGGTTTAACACTTGCATAAATGCCGCTGGTTGTTCTCCCCCCCTTCTTTGATCGCCATCATTGGAGATGTCAAGTCTTGTATTTAGCGAATCTAAGAAGTATGCTAGGTCCTTTTCCACTGGTGTGGCTACTTGGACGTTAGACATCAACAGCCATATGATTCCCTTTCCAAGTCTTGCATGTGCTCGTAGCTCAGTACGTCCCCGCAGTAGTACCCTCCAGACGGAGACCGGATTCTGTCTTCAAACAACAAAGGTGTTGCCTTTTTAAGATCCTCATGAAACGTCCCTCCTAGCTTCTCGATGAGCCGGCATCGCTCCTCCATATCCCTCGCATTTTTGATCCGACCGACCCCGGCCTGCGCCGCAGCAGCTGGCTTCGCCTGCAACACCCACACGCCTCCAGCAGCGGGGTACCCTGCAATCAAAACATCCTCGTGGTATGATTTATCGCCCTCAAACGCTTCGTGAACTGCGAATGCTTCGTCATTTTTCCAGCACTCCGCACCCAGCATGCGCATGCGCTCGCAGTGAGCATCCTCTAACATCCGGTCGATGGGTCGTGGCGTTGGTTCAAGCCGGTCAAGCTGGAGGAACGCAAGTTCCACCGCGTCGCAATTGCGGAGAACGAGGATCCCGCCGTCGGCGAGAAGACCGACGACCTTTGCGCCTGGATCACGACCAAAGGTCTGCTTGTAATGAATGTAATACCGATCCAAATACGGGTATGCATCGGCGAATTCGTCTGGTTGCGGCTCTTCTTCTGCGGTTTCATTCATTTCTGTGCGACAAGTATCACAACAGAGAGGTGGTCGTGGAGTTTCGGTTGGGTCTAGGCGTTGATAAGGGTCTAAGTATTGATAAAAGAGGTCTTTGTATTGATGATATATGTGACCAGGCATGAGGAGATACACAGCTATTGGGGCTGCGATAAATACGGATACAATGGCAGTCAACATATCTGCTGTGTTGTGCGATGGGAGGAAATAATCGCCGTTGGTTGTTGCCTACCGATATGTTCGCATTGAAAAGTCGGTCGGAAAGCTGGAGCCTGGTGACAACGTATTGGAACCCCTGGTAGCCAAGACACCGACCCATCTTCCAACGAATGCTGGCAGTGTATCTCCAAGGGTGATCAACCAAACCAAAAGTCCGACATCTGCTCAATCATGAAGATGTAGCTGGCAATTCGTGAAGCTCATCGCTTTGTAAGAATGTCAGATCAATAATAATGCCAAAGAGAAGGGAGCACACAGCTTCTGAAAATTTGAAATTCGTCATTCATTCTACCAGTATCTAACGTTCTGGGTGGTATTGATGAGACCGTCATGAAATAAATCATGTCCAGTCTTAGGAGAAAGATGTCGAATCGCAAAGCCAGCCAATTAGTTGGGATAGTCCTTTAGAAGAATACCATAACCCTCAAAAAGAGATGGTCCTCCGGCAGTGACGGCATAAGTATCAGTGCTACCGACGTGTACGCCGTAAAGGTAGCGGTCTCCGTTCTCGTTGATCCAGAAGGGGCCACCAGACTGGCCCCCAGCAGAGTCGGTGTCGGTGACAACCGGAGATCCTCTATCACAACCAGTCGCAGCTGAAGCGGTGATGCCCTCCTGGCGATAGGGGCGTTGTCCACCCTTGTCGCCCGGGTAGCCGTAGTGAAAGAACATCGCGCGGTTCAGCTGAGTATCTGGGTTCACCACTTTGAGCCCTAGCCAGCCGTTGGCCGTTCCAGCCTTCTCCCCGAGAACGAAGATAGCCCAGTCGTAAGCATTGGCGCACCAGCCAGTCTGGCCGTAGTCGGGGCGGAAAACGACGGTAACATCGTAGCCTCCGTACGGCTCGCCTTGGTCGTAGGCTGGCTGGAAGCGGGCAGACACACCTTCGCCTGGGATGCAGTGTCGGGCAGTCACCACATGACGAGACCCGATGAGTGCACCACTGCAAAAGACTCCATTGGAATGCTGGATTCGTCCCATGGCGCGATAAGGGTAGTTCTTGTCGGTCCAAAGGACTCTGTTGTCTACCCCGATGATCGAGCGCTTGGATGCGGGCTCATTAGGCCCAGTGAAAGACGGGGGGAAGTCGTTGATGTTGCTATCTGGAACCCCGGTGATGTTGAGAGTACGGACTTCTGGGACAATGGCAGAAACCCTGTTCTCTCGGAGGGAGGAGTCAAAGTTTGGGTCATACCCGATGAGAGGCTTGAACTCGCTCGGGTCTGGGAGCTTGAGGTCCTCAGAGGTTGGTGCACCGAAGACGCCGGCACCGAGGACCAAGGCCGCAATGGCTGTAGACTTGCTGGGAGAAATCATGATGTCCTTGTCCGGTGAAACAATGGGAGGAGAAGAATTTGCAAGAAAGCCAAGTCTGCTCTGGGCTTTTCCATTCCACGGGGTGATGGATGCCGCCGTTCATTTATAATTTGTTTCGACATTGGGAAGCCATCGTTCGCTGACGTCTCCAGTCTCAATTCTGTTTGTCGTAAAGGTCAAGCTGGTGCCTGGAGATGCATTACCCTGTTGTCGCTTCAACACCTCGGATCCTTTAATGGAACCTGAACCTGCCGACAAGAAAGAAAACAGTAAGCGCCAAGCCTGTAACCCGTCGGCCTCGCAAGCCTAGTAGGGAGTCCAGACCACGACAAGTTCAAAAGTCGAATGAAGACAGTAAAAGTGAGTGGGCATGGCGGCCAAAAGGGGAAGGTAAGTGTCCGAGTCCAAAGAGCCCATTGGCCCTGTCGGAAACGTGAAGCTCTTAACAGCTGAGTGAGTCTTAGGTTGCCTTGCAGGAGAAGGAAGAGGCACGTTCATGTGCATCTCAGGAGAGCCTTATTAAATACTTGCGTGCTTAGACGCCATTGGTTGGGTCGCTCTCCTGACTGGGACTCTTTTAGGGTTACCACCAAAGTCGATCTTATACTACCCCAAACACCTACAGCTCCTCACGTTGTATCTTCCGTTTCGCTGCCAAGCTGCTTGGCAAGATGGCATCAGGCACGCTAGTGGTTCGGCAACGTCCCATATAATGAATCATACTCATTTCGACCACGATATTAGGATCAATTGCGGTCTTTCTATTCTGGAAGATGCAAGTTTGCGGAATCCTTCAATTTGCCTGCATACAGGGTGCCTGGGAAGTTGCTACTAGCTGCTCAACGTGCTGGGATATCATTGGCTAGAACTGAAGCCCCTTGTTGTGATTATATCCGCGGTATCATGATCCAAGAAATCATTCATGGTCTTAGACTTCATACATACTTCGGGTGAGCATACTGTTCTAAATCATGATGCATAAGACATGTGACCTTCTGGTTTGCTATAGGCGGCCGAAAGCTGTCAGCAAATAGCCCACTACACTTGTCGAAACCGGAGCGAGCACAAGTGCTGGTACGTCTGCTCTTTTCGCCTCCCTTCAACAGCATATACCAATTTTTGATCATCTGTATCTAAGTAGTTATGCCAAATGTCCAAGTCCACATTCTGATCCAAAAGCATCAAGCTCGCACGGAGGTATGTGGTAGGGAACATGTAAGCTGTTTGTTACGTGGTTTGCGTGTGTCGAAAGTGCAACATCCTACCATGTGAATCCTCAATTGAGCCCATCAATGAAACTCCTTGTCTTCGCCAGGATTGGAAGCGGAACTGGTCCCAGCGGATGGATTACTATTGATCACTCCTCCCCATGAGTATGGCCATCATTGTGGACCGTTTGGAATCCGTTGCTGGTCTGTGTTGGTTAGATGAATGTCGCTATGAAACTTAGGCATTCATTGTCGAAACCAGTTGCCATATGGCTTGCTTAGGTATTCCTGACGAGCCGCAAGTCAGAGCTGTCCCCGCCAGCCACAACAGCTTCTCAGCCGCAAAACCTTAGAGGTGGCTGTGATCTTAGCACGCACGCTTCCTTCTGAACATATAAAGCGCTTACAATTGCCAATTGTGCCCTGAAAGTTCACGGTGATTAAGACGGAATACTGTTCAACAGCCATCTTCATCAACGTCACTCTACTTGCCGCTGAAACTCTTGGGGATGGACGAGGTTTGTGGCAAGAACTTGTAAGAATGTGAGGGAGAGTTCGCAACCTTATCGCGCCTTTATTTTCTTCGTGATAGCTTCGAGGCGGCCGATAACTGGACAATCTATTTCTTGGTCATCATCGGAAATCAGTCATGGAACAAGATCAGTAAAGTGGCCGGACTGAAACATCGGATCCCTCATCTTTCAGTCTCTTTCGCTCGAAACTGATTATCTGCGCCTATATGATGTAGAACCAAAAGCGCTG